TGCCACAAACCTGGGGCAAGGAAGCAGCCAGTGCATTTCCAGAACCCCTGGAAATGATGCACAGCTCAGGACTTTGGTCCACCCACTGGGAAGCCGCCACTACCTCCATTATCGCTGGAGGTAGGTGGTGTGGTTTTTTGGGGGCGGTGGGAAATGGGAGGGCCCCGAACCCCTCGCGATCAACTGATCGAGCCCTAACAATTGGCCAGTCAGTCAATCACGATCAACAGGTTGGTGACCACGTCTGTAAATAATATAGAGATTAAAAGAACCTTAAAGAGGGAAAATTCCTTTCAAATCTATCCATCTGGTCAATAGGGTTACCAGGTGTTCGGTTTTGAACCGGACAATCCAGTATTTGAGTTTCTGTTTGGGGAAACAAATTGAGAAAGGACAAATGAGAAAATATAAATGTCCGGTATTTTCTAAATAAGATGTAATGTCGATTATGATATAATGTCAAGTGTGTCTGGTTTTTTTGTTGAAACCATCGGGCAACCCTACTGGTCAACTGTATTTGTCATGACCCATTGGCACTTCTTCTGCTCATTAACCTGTTTTCACAAGTGCTTATTGTAACAGTCTGAACTCTCAGCAGCTACCAACAGTTGCTCAACTTGTCACAAAAATATTTATTTCATTCTCTCACAAACATGCGATGTGCCTCCAAAATTACTTTGTCCTGTGCACAATGAGGTTTCTGCAGATCCCCCAGCTTAGGAGTGAGCAAAAGGGCCTCCACGGGCCAGATCCAGCCCATCAAGTGGGTTGACCCCCGCCCCAGGCCAATTAGGGCATGGGGGTGGGGATCACATCAGGTCTCCTCCCGCCCTGCAAGCAGCGCATGGCACTTTGAAGTGCTACATACTCCTCACAGAGCAGGGGGAGGGGGGGAGAAGGCTTCATGTGCTGCCCTACCCCCAGGCCAATCAGGGCCTGGGGGCAGGGGAGTGCGTAAAGCCTCTTCCCGCCCTGCCAGGGGCATGGGTGCCTAGTGGGTGGGTGGGGGAGGTGTGCCCCTGCCCCCAGACCAATTATGGTCTGGGGATGGGGAAGCCCAGAAGCATTCTGGCCCCACCTTTTCCCAATTAGGACCCTTCCCTTGCAGGCCAGCCCAGGGCCACTTCAAAAATACTGCCAGGGGCATGGGTGCCTAGTGGGTGGGTGGGGGAGGTGTGCCCCTGCCCCCAGACCAATTATGGTCTGGGGATGGGGAAGCCCAGAAGCATTCTGGCCCCACCTTTTCCCAATTAGGACCCTTCCCTTGCAGGCCAGCCCAGGGCCACTTCAAAAATATTTGAACTGGCCCCCAGCAAAAAATTATTGCCTATCCCTATCCCAGGTACTTGCAAACAATGAACATTTGGGGCAAAGGCAGGCCCAAAGGATTCACCTCTCTACAAACCCTCCAGTCCTTCCCATCAAGGGGAAATGGGGGGAGGGGGGGGGAGGAAGGCAGGGACACTTAGGGACTGATCCAAAGCATTCTGAAGTCAAAAGATACAGCCTTCATAAGGTTGCCTGGGCTATATAGGCCATCTGCACTACATACACAGTCATGCCACCTTCTTCCTAGAGTTTCAAAAAGTAAAAAAAAAAGGACATGGGGCAAACAAGAGTGGTTTACTCTTAACCAGATGTGCTCTCATTCACATTGTAGTGTTTGACTATAATCATGTGTCACTTGACATGCTCAGTAACTGATTTTCAAACAATTCTCACTTTCCTAAATCAACACTCAGCGAAAGGCAGAAAATTTAACCTTGGCAAGGACTAGAACCATGCCAGATTTCAAGTTTTGAACATCTGACTTTTTGTGATAGCCGGATGTAGGCAAGTTTAGTTGGAATGATTGTTATATATATATATATATATATATTATGTAGGAAGAATATTTTCACTGACCAAATTCGAACATGGCTAGTGGGCTCTTGCTCAAACTCTAATCAAACTTAACTGATAGAGATTAAACATAGGAACATTTCAGCATTAATGAAATATTAGCAAGAATGGGTGGTTTTGGCTGAAAATCCTTTGCAATCTTCACTTCAGTAGACACTCCACAAAGCAAAGTTCCCAAAACAAAACATACTCTAAGGAGGAAACTTGTGACTCTTTTATAAAAAAAAAAAAAAAAATCTTAAAACAAAAAACAAAACAAAAAACTAAAATAGGCTGGTTTAACTACATCACTCAGGAGGAGTCTGACAAGTCCCCAACCTAACCCCAATACGAAACAGAACTAGATCAGCAGACTCATTCAGCTATAGGGCTTGTCTACATTTAAAACACTAAGTGAATTTACTAATAGCAATTGAGCTTTGGATTGACAGCACAGGAGGCTGAAATCTTCTAACAACAAAAGCCCAGCAGTGGAACCACAAACTTCCCCATGTCATCTCTGAAAAGGAGACTCATGACTGACCAGTGATCTGAAGAAATGGGCTGTGTCCATGAAAGCTCATGATACCACCTACATGTTTTGTTAGTCTATAAAGTGCTACCAGACCGTTTGCTTGCAGTCTTTAAGGCTCATTCAGTATTTCATCTCTACTAACAAGAGTATCCATTGTGTGATGGATATTTGTCCACTAGGAAGTGCATCAAGGCTTTTTGTGAACAACCAAAACAAGCCCTAGAAAGTAAGACTTCTGGTCCCTATTGACTTTTTCAACTTTCGACTACTAACCTAAAGTTGAAAGATTGTGTACAGTCAGTTATCAAAATCCACTTAGTTGCAAAGGTTGGCTATCAGTATCTTAAATTATCATATGCACTTGAAAAAAGGGGAATGGAGCTCAGAGGTTTAGAGACAGACATTGTGAGACTGCAGCCCCAAAAGGGAAAACCTACCCCTGCTGAATGAACCATGCATTTTGGTGCTCCTGTTGTGCCAGATGAATACATGATGAAGAGAGGATGACTAAAGGGAAGCTGTTCCAACTCCAGCTGTGGGGCCTGCTCTCCTTTCCCAGTAGCAAGGAAATCCTCTAGAAAAACACTGTGCAAGGAAAAGAGGGAAGAGCAACTACTTAACTACTTTTAACTTTAAAAACAAAAATTAAATGCTACTCAACCACAGACAACTGAGATCATTTTCAAAGCCACCAGCACTCTTACAATACTATAATAGGTCTATAGCCCTATTTTTATTCTTTTTTGCTGTTCAGACCTTTGTTTAAATTTCTTAGCTTGTTTTTTTTTCCCCAAATAAAAGAGTCAACAAATTGTTTAAGAATAAAATATTATCTCGATGTCCTAACATGCCTACAAATCTATACATATAAACAGCAGATCGCCTTGAAAGCCCTATAGCAGTAGAGGTAGCAGATCAGTGCTTGTACAGACCCTATCTATGCAGTAAATCATCATACAGAAAGCCCAGGTGGCAATCTACAGTGCACAAACTTGCAATACAGTTAACCATTCTGTGCAGCTTCTGCTACAGGCATACTGGAAGTCCCAGAGTACAAGTTAGCCAACTATACTAAGCCATGCACTATGAACTCTCTGTATTGTAGCTAAGTCCAGGTGAAACATTACTGGGCATCAAGCTGATGCATTGTAAAATAACACACTGTGCAGCAAGGCAGGAACTCACCATGTATACGGGCCTTAAGATACACAGGCCTAAGAAAGATCTTTGGTGTATGGCTTGGAACAAGGATGAAGCCCTCAAGGGAAATATTAAACATAATTTGTAATATGGGTTCACTGTGGAGTGAAGACAGAATGGCTGCACTACCAACTAGTACATTATTATGAAAATCAGAAGGGAGCTATGCTGTACCCAGCTCCCTTGAATCAGCTGTGAACATATCTTTGGCTTCTACTATCAATTTCAATGAAATTGTTCTGGAGTGACAAAGAATCTAGCCTTTTTCACATAGTTTGTAATGTTAGCAATTTCAAAAAGATACCTGGGCAGCCTATCCCTGAACAGTAAATAAACAAATGACCCCTTTGTGTGAGCAAGAACAATTTAAATGGCAATTCTTTAGTATGCTTTCCTCTCCCCATTATACCAGCTTTCATTTATATAAAAAGTGTTAATAAGCTATTACACAGAGCAAACATTTTCTTTAGATGATTTATAAAAGCAAAACAGTGATAATTATTGAGTTTGACTTAAAGTTTCTTGGCACTTTTCATGTTCAAGTTGATCTGTAGTATCCAGCAATCAAGATGTCAAGAAGTCAACAGCAATGAAAATAAAATTCAGGTCTAACAAGGATAGCTTGCTGCTTTGTATAAAGCTAAATAAAGTGGGTAGTATTTTACTGGATGCGCCTATTTATAGCAATTACTAAGACACCGTGAAATATGACTGAGAAGAAGATATTGCAAATGTATGTGAGGAAAGAATGAGAGGGATACAGCAGTTATAAATATAGCAGACAAGCTGAAAACAGATACATTTTATAAGCAAACTAATTCCATCTCTTTATGGAGCGATTTCTTGCTGTGTCAATACTAACTGGGGGGAAAAAAGTGCTGTAATGAAAGAAAGCAAATCAGTTGCTCATTTAGCTTCATTCTTATCAGCACTGCTTATATTAGCCAACTCCCACTAGAAAATGTACTGTAGTAGTTTTACAAGTCTGACAAAAGCCCTCTCTGCATCAGCTCCCATCCATTCTTCTATCACAAGTCTGTGAAAAAAATCTGCTGAATGGACAGTTTATAAAATAAGGGTTTAAAAACAAAACATTCTCTTTTAAAGTACTACATACAGCATTCTCAAGCAGGGCTTGAAACCTAAACATGCTATCACTATACTACAGCATGCAACACAAAGTGAAATTAACAAAAAAGTTTAAAAACATAATTGTCTAATTGAACTTCCAAGTTAACAGCATGAGCCTAAAGCCCAGAAATAAGAATTATTCCAATAAAGTCAATGGGCTAAACTCTCTGGATTTACAAATGCATTAGGAACAAAATACAATTTGTCCTGCATTCTGACGTACCAAAGTGTAAGAAAGAAAAACTCTGGTTTCAGAAAACTGCTTGCAAATGTGCTAAATATAGAAAATAGGGGTGTAACTGAGTAGTCGACTATTCGCATTTCCCCCGTTCTTCCCACTGCCTTAAAAGCCTGCTGCCATGAAGCAGCCTCTGCCCACAGCCAGGCAGCCCAGCCTAGTCCTGGTTCACACCGGGTTTGGGAACTACCCCCACGGCAATTCAAATATAGTAGGAGCCAGGCTGCCCGCCTGTCTTTCACTAAATTTAAACTGCAGAGCCACAGCAGAGGTAGGTCCTGGACTTGATGCAAAATGGGACTGAGTGCTTCTTCCCTTAGCAACTAATTATACAGTCAAAACTTCTATCAACTACACAATTAGCAAGTTACCCACCTCTTAATATCCTTAACAGAAAATCAAGTGAAACAAGCTAAAATGAAAAGAAATTTAAAATCTAATCGATTAAGAAAATAACCTATAAAAATATGGTTTTACAGTATCTTGTCAACATTATCCCACAAATTTAAGACAAGAGCTGTGTGTGTTATATCCGGTGTCCATTCTCTTCTCCAGGAGATTTGTATTGCTGCATGCCTAAGGATCCATATACATAAAAGGAACCTGATCCTCACAGGTTATTCCCAGATGAGAATATAAAGCTTGTAACTAAGCTAACAATCAAATACTAAAATTTCCCAACATTCAGGAATGCACCGATGAGGAAAAAAAATCCACGGGGAATTCTGGATCTGTCCCATCTCTAGTTGATAGACAACAACATGTGCCCAAATCATGAATTGTCCCATTACCTGTTTGGTATTTTAGAAATATCTATTGTTTCTCTCGATGACACATATGGAATCACCACCACTTTTCTTAAGTCTGGAAGTCCTGGGGGGAGGAGGAGAAGAAAAAGAGAGGAAAAAGGAACAATTTTTTTCTATTTATTTGAAGTTACATAAATAAAAGGCCTCTTCGGTTTGGTTAGTTTGTGTAGTGTACATACTGAGTAATGGAAACAATTCAATCTTTTTGCAACTTCCATCTTTCTGTTAGGTCACAGAAACAGTACCAGCAATAAGAGTTTGAAACGTGGATGTAAATACAGTGTAATATCAACACAGGGAAGAACAGAACTGGTCCCCCAGACCAAGTTTTTCATTAGAAAAATCCACACAACACCAGTGAGTCACAGGTTTCATGACCTTACATGAGAGCCCAGTTTGGTCATATGAAAATATATAGCAATACCCAGATGTTATAGACTGCTGGTCATAAGGAGAGCTCAAAATACTTTAACAAAAATTCAGTATCATTATATCCATTCAGGCATGGCTGGGTGAGGGCATGGGGGAGGGGAGACACATGACCCTCCCCCACCTCAGGGAAAGGCCAGGATAACACCCAGAACCAGCCTCTTCCCCTGCACCCCTCTCCCCTAAGCAACGAAGCCTGAGGAACTACAAGAGCCAGGAGTCCAGCACCAGCTATGGGGGCTCCAGCCCCCCACCCTGCACTCAGCAGCAGGGTAAGTGGAGCAACATGGCCCCCTTACACACACTGTTCCATTTCCTGCCAGAAAGTGAGAGAGAGGTCCTATCTCCACTCCAAGCAACACCACAGGAGAGCAGAGCAGAACAAACTGGGACTGCATTGCACTGCTTCCCCCACCACTGCAACAGGAGTCTGGCCACAGGCCCCCTTTAGCTCTGTAGTACACCAGAAGCTCTGGACCTGTAGCTGCTGGCTGGACCCTTGCCTCTCTTGCCCATGGCATTTAAGGGGCAAGTTCCCTTGTGCCTCCGCCTCAAAGCATCGCCCCCTACCCATTTTACAGATAGAAACCTGAGGCACAGAGAGGTGAAGTGATTTGCCCAAGGTCAACCAGCAGGGACTGCAGTAATACAGGTTTGAGTCCAGTGCTCTATTCACTAGCAAACACTGCTTCATCTGTTCAGCACAAGTACATGTTTTTCCTCACAAGTATTTAAATGTTCCATGCTCTGTCTACTTGTTAGAGTAAAGAAACGCCCAAATCCCATGCGATTGAGTAAGGAACAAGTAGTGGGAGGAAGAAGTCAGATCAGCAATATGTTCTCAACAAGAGAGAAGGATTCTTTGTTGCTGATTTTCCATTTAAAAAAATTAAAAAGTAGGATAAATAGTTTTGCCTAAATAAGATTTGACTTCCTCCTCATTTATAAACTGTTTTGAAGTGTCCCACATGTTCCATGTCCCAAGTGTTCCATGTGAGGTAATATGGTATGATGTTAAGTACCTTTTACTACATTATGCAGTTTTTCCATGTGATTATGCTCTTTGCCATTGTATATGACAGCTTCCACAGAGAAGATCAGCTTGGGCTGAATTTGGGAAAACCTGTCCAGCACACCCTGGGTAGAAAAGAAAAAGAACAAGCAATACAACCATCAACACTGCAAAGATGAAAAAGCCACTGGTTGATTGGTCCAAGCCATGTAAGAAAGAGAACAATTATGGCAGCACACAGGTATAATGTTAAGAGACCAAGCTACTTCAGTTTTCTCCATCTACCCCCAACATTTTAAAGGAACACATAGTATGTATGAGCCAATAATCCCAATGCATATCTCAAAAAGCACTACTGTGTCTTAGACTAATTATCCAGAATATAGCAACACTACTAGATATAGGACCAGATTTACAAAAGGTATTCAGGTGCCAACAATGCAACTAAGTGCAAATATGCCTAAGTGGATTAGGGACCTAATAATCATTGCTTATAAAGAAGCTAGATGCCTCGTGCTAGATATGCACCTATTTCCTTTACAAACAATGATCATTAGGTCCCTAATCCATTTAGGCATATTTGCATATTTGCACCCCAAAATGCAGGTATGCAAACTTTAATTGTGTTGGTGGGAGTTATATGAATGCATGGAAGGGGCAAGATCGACATTAGGGACCTAATAATCATTGCTTATAAAGAAGCTAGATGCCTCGTGCTAGATATGCACCTATTTCCTTTACAAACAATGATCATTAGGTCCCTAATCCATTTAGGCATATTTGCATATTTGCACCCCAAAATGCAGGTATGCAAACTTTAATTGTGTTGGTGGGAGTTATATGAATGCATGGAAGGGGCAAGATCGACCCTTAGGATGGAAATGGATATTGCCACTTCCGTACACATCACAAGGCTTCAGACTGATTTGAATTTAAGCCAAACCAGCCTTTAACCCAATAGAAGGCATATATGTGATACTGATGTCTAAAGAGACCCCAAAGTTAAGCATGGTTTAAAAGCTCAAACAATTAAAACTGGGCACTGAATATAGTCCATTGGGATGGAGAGAAATAAGCTGTAATACAAATAAAATAATCAATCTTCCCCGATGAAGGATTAAATCATACTGCAAAGGAAACTCTGTCATTACAAAGCACAGAGCCCTTCAAAAAAATCACTGTACTGTTGAAAAAAATACTTTTGTGCAAGAAAATGGAATTATGATGCTCTCTAATCCTCCTTGTGCATAGCACTTTGATACTTTTACAATCTGCAGTGCCTCATTATTACTAAATATTTATATTGATTTATGATTTCTACAATACAAACATAACAATCCTTACCCCAAAACACAAACTAAATATCTTGTAAGAATGAACAAGGATTCAGTATTCAATGATAATTCAAAATTACCATTGTGATTTATATTCAGGGCTACATCTACACTAAATCATTCAATCGATCTAAGGTACGCAACTCCAACAAAGTGAACAATGTAACTGAAGTCAACTTTGCTTAAGTCTACACTGTGCTGGATCAACGAGACTTACCTTACTTTTCTCATTTTGGGGTATATTTCTGGAATCAACTGCACAGCAATCTACAGTCAATTTTGCAGGTCTCCACTAGATCTGCTAAAAATCAACCTCCAATGCATCAGTCTCTGCAGCACTGATCCCAACTATCAGAAGAAGAAGGTTTTTTTCTTGTGTCATATGTATAACACCTTCAAAACCATCCTGTGGTAGTGCATATTGCAGGTAAACACCTCAGTATAATTCAAGAGGATTAAACCTATGACTAGAAATAGCTTCCACAGTTGTAAGTAGGGATGCAAATGGTTAATCAGTAAGTATCATCCTTATCAGGTGATGCTTACCAATTACCTGGTGGCCCAGCCAGGCAGAAGCAGCCCCCCTGTCTGTCCTAGTTAAGTGGATAATGTTTAAGCTATTAACTGATTAAAATGGGATTTTACATCCTTAGTTCTAAGTTACCCTAGCTAGAATAAGGGTTATTGATCTGAATGTTTTGGGCCATGAAAGGATTGTGAGAGGAGGAAAGGAAGGAGTCTCATACCATCTATAGTCCATTCTTTCAGTGTTGAAAAGCTGGAGCCATATTCTGGAGAGGCCATCCTGACACCACAAAGACTGTCAGTTTCCATGACCTATTCAATCCTTGGCCTGTCAACATGAGTGCCCTCAGTATTAACCGATTTTGTGTGAGAGCTGTCCTTTATAGAGTGAATTATGCACTGATTCTTTTAATACAAGAAGGAAGAAGTGTGTAATAGCTGTTGCTAGCTATTGACTACTAAACCAGGCTTTATTTGGAAATAAGCAATTTAAGGCTGAGACTTTCAAAGCCTTCTCATGGACTTGGACACCTAGTTTTATTAAATTAAAGATAATTGGGCTTCCAGGTCCTAAGGCAGGTACAAAAGTCTCAACTAAACAGTTTCCTCTAAATTTTGGAAGGAAACCTAGCTTTTCAGGAGGTTTGCCACAAGATGGCAGTAGAAGTAAAACAAACATATGTCAACAACGTTAAACATGTAGCTCCCAGACCTAATCACCATCTACACTAGGCAGGCTCATAACTTCCCTGCAATAGGTAATACAGAGACTACTTACGTTAATTCCAAAATCAGGTGAAGTTGAACTCCAAATAGCACCAATACTCGCAGCAGCCAGCATTGCTTCCACTGCATGAATACTATTAGGTAGATAACCTACAAACAGGATTTAAATATTTAAAGATGGAAGAGACCTAAAATCTGCACATCTTAAAACTGTAGTCAGTTTATATAGATGTGCAAGCAAAACAAACAAAATGTCTTTTCAGAAACGTTACTACACCTCCAAATGCCTCCCCTCCATAGACATTGATCACAGTGACCATAGACATTGGGGAAAGTTGGCTGTAACTGCACTAACAAAAATTACTCCAAAGTTGATATCCATAGAGTGCCTTCCAAATTACACTGCAATCACAAAGATCCAGATCTTTATTAAACAAAACCTGAAGAGCGAGGGGGGAGAGAGAGCTCTGATTTGTAGGAGGACAGGAAGAGTAATTTAATAGCCAACATAAATGTGTTCTACTGAAAGCATAGGATTAGCCAGAACCAAAGGCTACCCAACACATAGAAGTAGTACTGGAAAACAAACCTGTCTAGAGGGTGGGATTACAAAATGCCCTGTATTCCATTGTAAGGCAAATTCAGTTACCAGCATCCCTCTCCACACATGCATGTCAGGGCATGTGGAAGAAAGAAGAAATGGTCTCTATGCGGATCACGTCTCCCAACCCACCCTTGCTAACTTAACTTCTGCGCAAAAGCCAGTTACCAGGCCAGAAGCAATATTACACTACATACATACGCAGAACTGACAAGACTCATCTCCCATCAGTTAGCAGACTTCTTTCTGGCTCCAGTCTCCTAATATTAATCAATAAGTGAGTCAGGGTCAGACATGCCAACTCTCGCTAATGTAACTCGAGTGATAATTTGTAAGTGAAATTAAGCCTGACTCATGATCTCACAAAAGAACTCTCATGTCAGGGCATGAGTCTGCATTAAGTTAAATTACAAATCGCTGGAGGACTCTCACTTTCAGTCAACATTAAGGCTGACAGCAGGAGCCTCCTCCCCCACCCCCCCGCCCATCCAGCTCTGAAAGTGAGACCATGGGAGTCTGAGCCCCAACACCTGCAATAAGGGGCTTCAGCTGTAAATCATCCCTGTATCCAGAGAATGTGGAACCCCCAAAAGGCACAGTGTAGCACAAGCTGGCTATAGATCACGCAACTGAGACCCAGTGATCACTCCCAGAGTTACATCCAAGCCCCTCCAGGAACCTAGCATGCAGAGTCCCAGTGGAAGCAGAAAATCAATTGCACTTGTCCCTTGCAAGATCCCCAAACCTCACGGTTGCTGCTGGGGTCCCCAGAGTGTTGCTGCAGCCAAAAGAGGTTAATATTAAAGAGCAACAGTCCTGTTACTCCCCAGGATACTCTCCCAGTATAGAGAGCCCACCCTGCCCAGGACACCCCTTCCTGGGACCCAGTCCTCTGCTCCAAGGAGTGCACTGCTTGGAGGGAAGTTAAGAGACCTTCCCATTCCCACCTCACAGACAGATACAAGAACTAGAGGTACAGGATGGTGCTACAGTAACCCAGGGCTACCAGTCTAGCACTTACGGTCCAAGCTGACTTCCCATATGCCACAGAATCTGCTGCTAGCCCTGTATCTGGGGGGACCCAGCCCCCACTCTGTGCTGCATGGGCTCTAGGCCTGGTGTGCCAGGTGCCAGTCCTGCATGACACAGGATCTACTTCAGCCCTGCACACTAGGAGCTATACTGCCAGCCACTGTCCCACATGTCAGAGCTTTGATCCCAGCCTCAGCTGGGGTAGGGCGAGGGATGTCAGCACCTCCATACTTATGTATGTTCCCACACCACAGCTCACAGAGCCGCTTGGTTACACCCTGGCTGCAGGAAGATGGATTTGCCCTAGGCTGCTCCCAGCTGAGCTAGCTGTGACTTCCTGCCCTCTGCCCAAGAATGCTGGCGACCTGCTCCCGTTGTTACCAGGAAGTGCTGAAGAAAGAGAGTGTGACATGATATGGGTGGTAATGTTACTATCCACTGCCCTTGCTGGTGTGAAGAGAGGATGCTCATTAAGATCTGACAATATCACCCCTTCCTTCACATGGCACCTGTTTGGATTGACAAAGAGCTCCTAGCTATTCCTTTAGAGGCAAAAAGGGGCAAATGAGAAGTGAAGGATGAGCAGAAATCAAATTGAATGCACAGGAGTGTCCAACAGCTAGAGGCACGTGAAGGAAAGGGACCCAGAGGCAAAATTAGGACCTGGGCATAGGAAATGAGGTTAAGAATCGGATACAGGCCCTTTATTCCTGGATCCCCCTCACCATGTCTTAGAGAGGGGCAGAAGTGATAAGAGTCAGCCCAGAGGCGTTAAGCCTACTGCAGTTTTTGCAAAAGTAAGGTGTGCAGCTAGCAGCGGATTTCCCATTGGGCAAACTGTTCCCTGGCCCCAGGCCAAAGCCCAGAAGGGCCACCATTTAACGATGGGAAACCAAGGTACTCTGGGAGCTGTAGTTCATTGGCCAGCTCCCTGCCTTGAAAGCTAGCCTGGAACAGGGAAGGGACTACATTTTCCAGCATTCCCTTGGCCAGTAGCAACAGGAAAGAGAGGAGGAAGAAGTGGGGGAAGCAGTGACCCATGTTGGGAATGGAGAGCTGGTTACTAGAAGAGACTGGTGAGTATACCTTCCCAAACCTCCAGCCTGCGCCCACCCATACTCCCCTCCGCCCCAGAATGCCTACTGCAGGCACACTGGGGGAAGAGTGTTGCCGCCCCCGCCCTCCCACCGAGAGCTTCTCCGCCCCCCCATGTTCCAGGGCCAGGGAGGCTAGGGCCATGCACTACCTATCCTCCCTATGGTCCTGAGGGTGGGGCTTGGCTCCCATCATGGGGAGGGCCTGGGCAGAAGGGGTGGAGCTGGGGGCTTGCTTCCCTCAGCCCTACCTTCACCTACCACCCATGAGAAGTAGGCAGCTTTGGCTTAAATCTCATCCTACAAAGCCTTCCCTAGACTGGATTAGGGGATGCCAGTGGCCTTGGTTCATTGCCCCCAAAGAAGGAATTGGTGTGAACTGAACGGACAATGCACCTCTGTCTGAATCCTAGCAAGCCTAATATGAGTCAGTGTGACAGCAAATGTGATTCTGGGATGCATTAACTAGAGTGTTGTAAGCAAGACACGAGAAGTCATTCTTCTGCTCTACTCTGCACTGATTAGGCCTTAGTTGGAGTATTGTGTCCAGTTCTGGGCACCACATTTCAAGAAAGATGTGGAGAAATTCGAGAGGGTCCAGAGAAGAGAAACAAAAATAGTTAAACATCTAAAAAACATGACCTATGAGGGAAGACTGAAAGAACTGAGCTTATTTAGTTTAGAAAAGAGACGACTAAGGCTACATCTACACTGCAACATTATTTTGGGATACCAGAGATATCCAAAAATAGCTATTCCATGTCTTTAAAGCGCACCAGTTATTTCAAAATACCACAGGCTCACTATTCCAACGTCCCTGTAAACCTCATTCCAGAGGAGTAAGGGACATTTCGGAATAGTAATTTATTTCAAAATAAGTGCTGTATATAGACAGTGCCAAATTTCAAAATAAGCTATTTCAAAAATAACTTGTGTAGCTCAAATTACACAGCTTATTGCAAGCTACAGTGTAGACGTACCTGAGAAGGGAGCATGGTAACAGTATTCAAGTATCTAAAAGAGTGTCACAGGGAGGAGGGGGAAATTGTTCTCCTTCGCCTCTGGTGATAGGACAAGAAGCAATGGGCTTAAATTGCAGCAAGGGAGGTTTAGGGTGGACATTAGGAAAAACTTCCTAACTGTCAGGGTGGTTAAACACTGGAATAAATTGCCCAGGGAGGTTGTGGAATCTCCATCACTGGAGATATTTAGGAGCAGGTTAAACAGACACCTATCAGGGATGATATAGACAGTGCTTGGTCTATAAGGGAGGTATGCGGACTCCACCAGCAGAGATTAAAGTTAGTAAAAGGCGGGAGGAAGGTTCTACTAGAGGGCCTATGCAACTTTAGGTACAATATCAGACACACATAAAGAATTTACTATTTCTACAGCCATGAAAGCAGAAATGGGCACCTCAACTTTTCCTCATTACATGGGAGAGTCTTACACTAGGGATCCAGATACGCTCCAACACACAAACTGAAAATTGTTCCACTTTACTTGGTGCTGGGGAAGGGATCTGTCACAACTGATTGCTCTGGAACTTTATTAACCTGAGATCAGGACTACATACAATCACCGAGGAAACAGAATGATCCTGGAGATGTGGCCACAGAACACTTGGTTGAGGAAGAGAAATCTATGGGATGCTTCCTTTGATCACTAGGAAATTTCTGTTCACTGTGGATATTTCTGTTCACATGGGTATACGGCTCAATTTGAGAAAAACAGAGGGGTTGAGGAATGTGCATAGCAGTGCATACAATATCGGAGCAGCGTATGATCAAAATGAATAAATGTTTGAGACTTAGTACAGGGTATACTACAGCACTGCCACACCAGGCCCACACTCAGAAGTGGCTGTTAAGTAGAGCTCTGCAAATCCGTGGATATCTACATCCACAAATGTGGATACAGATATTTCCAGGTCATTTTTGCAAATTCAGATGTGGATACAAATTTTGTATCCGCACAGGGCTCTACTGATAATGACTACATGGGGACTCATAAAAATGTTTGGCACTGGGCCCAAAGATGTCAATCCAGCCCTGTTTGGGGCAGATCTTTTTGCAGGATTTTTGTTCCTATTTCCCAGGACTGTGTCCTTAAAGGCACAGCATATCGCAATACCTTAAAGCCAAATCCCTCCTATATGAGAAAGTATACAACAGATCATTCTGTGTACATACATGCTGCATTCATGCTTGAAAAGTATGCATTTTTTCCACTTGTCATTCAAAATACATTAGCTTTCAAAACCTGAAATACAAGCATCAGCTTGCAACACAACTGAGATTTAAAAACACAGATACCCTTTGTCATATATTCTGACAAGACGAAGAGCCAGAAGAGGTAGATTTTCAAAAGGCTGACCCTGCCACCACCAAAGTCAATTGGAAGGTTGAGCTTTATTCTTGAAT